GGCGGGCTTGCAGCTTGTCTTCCCTTCCCACGCGCGGGGGGGGGGGTCCTCGTTCGGCTTAAAACGCCTGTGTAGCTGTTGCTCTTATTACTATTAAGCTGCCCTCGCTCGTGGGCTGTGATGGGCAACTGGCTCCTCTCCTTCCCTGCAGCCCTGGAAGCAAGAATTCCTAACGGGAACGACCGCCCGTCGGGGGTTGCCGCGTTTTGCAGCTCCCGTGGCAGCTCTCGGATGCAGCCCCCGGTGTGCCCCCAGCCCGGGCAGTGAGCCCCCGGTGACAAACCGGTGGCTTCTGTCACTCTTCACAGGGAGCTCGGGGTGCCCCATCCCTCCTCCCCTGGGAACAACCAGCCCCGGGAGTTTTAACCTGGAGAGTGTGAGATTACAGCCTCGGCTCTTTCTAGCAAACCCAAGAACAGCGTTTTGGCGTTTATTTAACAGCATGAAACCTCCGCTAAGGTATCGGCAGTGCTCTGGAAAGGTGATGGGGGAAACAACAGCTTTGTAACAACAGCTTTGGGAACACCATTAAGCGGGATCAGTTGCTCTTTGTTTAGCATCAGTGTAAATGAATAACCTACAAGGAGCGGGAGGTGCCAAGGCTTTACCCAGTAAATCTCCTGAGGACCCAAAATAGCGGGGGCAGAGCACGGCTGTTTAAATCTTCTTATTCACGAACCAAGAGGGGATGGATGTTGAAAACGCCGGAGAGCCACATCCCGCTGGGGCAGAGTGCTTGGGCCGTGCCCGCACTGTCACTCCCAGCGGTAAGGGCTGCAGAGGTTTTTCTTTTCCTTTTTTTCCTTTTTTTTTTTTAATTAGTTCCTGGCTTCAGCAAGCTCCAGGCCTGCTGAGCATGGCTGGCAGCGTAGCTGGACAGTTTTCCCCCTGCAGTGAACACCTGATGCAGGTGGTGGTAAGCGGTGGGTGTGAGGGAGACACGGAGCTCCACGCACCAGCGGCTGAACGGTTTAGGCAGCACAGAACCAAGACAGGCAACAGCAGCAAATCCGGCATTTTATAATAATAATAATCTGGCATTTAGAGTCAGGCGAGGGAAACTTTCCTTAAAGCTCTCCAGGCAATAAGGTTTCCAGTATCCTTTTGTTTGCCTGTGGTTTTTCAGGGTTATGTGCTGCAGGAATTCCTATTCCTGAGCATTTTAATTTCTGCTTCCTTAGCTCTTGCTTCGTGTCACTAGTGCTGGTATTAGAATTCCAGGGATCAGGAATGAGTGCCTGAGCTCCCTGCCGCAAACAGGTAGCTGTGCATGGGGTGGTTACAAACCCTGGTGGTCCAGGATTCTGAAAAGCCCCGCGATTTGCAGGGGTGGAGTCCATCCAGCGCCACGTTTGATGGAAAAATGCCACCTTTCTGTCCTGCTTCCCAAAGAATTGCAGAGCAGCATCTCTGCTGCCGTTCGCGAGGGCTTCGACAGCAGACCTGCCAGGCTGGGCTTTGCAAGACGGGGAGGAACGCTGCTCCATTCGTTGCGTTATTTAACTCTCTAATCTGAAGTTCAGGAAGGGACAAGGCTAGCGTAGCATCCCGGGGAGGGATGAGATGCTGATAACGTGCTTGACTTCTGCTTATCTGAAAGCACTTTGTGTGCGTGTGGTCCTCCTCTCTGCAGAGTATGGAGCGGACAGTGCGTGGAGCCTTCTGGATTTAACACTTATTTTGCAGCTTTCTGCATTGGAGGAGAGGGCCCAGCACTTGCAGACCCTCCTGCTCTGTGTCCGGTCTGTGCTGGTGTGGGTGATGGTCCAGTACGAACTGCCGTGGCTGCGAAAGCGGTTGCTGGGTTGGCCTGAGCTGGGAAATAGTGAGAGGCTGCGGAGAAACAAGCCCCGTGGTGCAGAATGCCCCTAATTAAGTTTCCTTTCTTTTGGGGGATTCTCTAGTGGATTTTGCCCTGAAGGTGGTCCAGTGGTCAGAGTCGGAGACAGTACGACTTCAGCTCTGGGACATTGCAGGTACGTTCACGCAAACCACGAAGCTGCTCAGGAGCAGAA